CACACACACACACCACCACACACACACACACACACACACACACACACACAGCTAACAGAGGGAACACTGTGCTGTCATTAAACGGCTGTGAGGAGCTTGTACAGTAATTATCCAGCTCATCCAAAGTCCTAATCCATAACCAACGCATTAAATCAGGCAGGACTCCCAGGACCGCCATGCACATACATTATGCTATCTGCAGCCTGCACCCTTGAAGAAAACGCAAGGAAGAAAAAAGGCGGGGCTTGTCCTACGCATGAAATCTTCCCCCACTGTGTTTACATTCACAAACACCCAGTGCATACATAATATATCAGCTCAATATATTCATTGACACTACCTACATAGACCAGATGGAAGGCACAATGCTAATTAATCATCCTTGGTAGCTCGGATGGGATAGGCAAAAAGCTAAGCAGTGTGTGGGAATTTCCACAGCAGCCGCCTCCTCGTTTCACTGACAGACCAGAGAGGGGGGACTGTTGACATCACAGATGGGCTCATTCAATAAGGGGACGGTACAGAGCGCGCTGCCTACCAGCATCCGGTCAGAAATCAAATGATCAGTTGCTATGGATTATAGTAATTTTGCGGTTCTGGAAGAATGGTTTTAACTCTCACCAAAACACTGTCTACCTGGAGTTTGCCTGTGGTTCCACCCACCACCCCATGATGTTCTGGTAGGTTACTTGGCTTCTACCCCAAATTTCCCTAAGACGACTGTCAGAAGGGCATTAGAAGGTAAGCTACTAAGCAGCAGAGACTGCTGGCGCTATATAAAATGAATAAGCATTGATCTTTGCACCGCTTTATCAAAAGAAATAAAGATTCAAAAAAAAAAAAGACGACCAACTAATTTTCACAGCACTGTTCAAAACCAGAAACCCCCGACAGCCAATCAGAACTCCTCTTTCATTGCAGTACCATCGTTACATCAGTAACAAGAGACTTCACTGGATGTAATGGGTTACAGCTTATGACAGAATCATTGCGATGCCCTGTATTACCTTATCAAAATCAACCCAAAAGCCTTTTGCAAATAGTAAAATGCTGCACGTTCCAAGCAGGACAATCGAACCATTGGGAGGAAGGTAGAAGAGGGAAGAGGAGAGGGAGGGAGGAAGGTAGAAGAGGGAAGAGGAGAGAGAGGGAGGAAGGTAGAAGAGGGAAGGAGAGAAGAGAGAGGGAGGAAGGTAGAAGAGGGAAGAGGAGAGGGAGGGAGGGAGGAGGGAGAAGAAGGAGGGAAGAGGAGAGAAGAGGGAGGAAGGTAGAAGAGGGGAAGGAGAGAAGAGGGAGGAAGGTAGAAGAGGGGAGAAGAGGGGAGGAGAGGAGAGAAGAGGGGAGGAGAGGAGAGAAGAGGGGAGGAGAGGAGAGAAGAGGGGAGGAGAGGAGAGAAGAGGAGAGGAGAGAAGGAGAAGGAGAAGGAGAGAGGAGAGCTACACATACACATGAATGTCTCGATCTATACACACACAATATAAAGTCAGTATGTAAATGTGATTTCCCTCATAGAAAGCAGCATCTCTTACATACAGGCAATGACACATAATATAAATAAAGATCATACAGCCTGGAAACGTGAAGAACAAGCAGCGGTGATAACTGGCACAGATCTGCCACATTCATTGTACAAGCAGCGTCACGTTAAACAAAAGGCTGGGCTGAATTCTGTAACAGGCGCCTGTGTTAATCTGCGGAAGGCAAGCAAAGCCGAGCCTGCACACATCAAATCCATAAAGGATCAGAACGTAAACACACGCAGATCAAAAGAGGGAATTTCTCCCTGTCGCACCTGAGCTGCAAGATTTAAAGGGCAACGCTGGAGAGGGAGGAAACCAACAAATGAATGCAGCCACCTAGCTGCAGCATGATCTGTGTGACATTCAGGATCCTGGTACTTACAGGCTGCTGGTGTTGACAGGGAGATCTCTGTGCATTGTTATCGGGAACCTTGCAAGTACCTGCGTCCTCCTGCACGGCTTCTTTGACCTTTCAATCTGCAGGCAGAATGCTCAGTGTGCATGTTTCATCACTTCCTGCGTGCAGCTCAGGGTAAGGTCATTCCTGCACACTGCAGCAGTGGTGGCGGCGGCAGAAGCAGCAGCGATCCGTACCCAGCCCCCTTCTCCCTCTCCTAGTACAGTGACATGTTTACATATTGCAGCAGAGAGCAGGCCAGCCCTCCCCCTCACAGGTATAGGGACACGTCAAAACTACTCCCTCCGTCTTTCCCCTATCCAGCTCACAAATTTCTCATTCAAGCCCTGGCCTGGAAGCTCTGCAGGAATCGGGGATTTAGTAATAGCTACAAGAATTCGGAGATTATGTATTGTTATCGATAAACACAGGAGAAAAAAAAAAAGAAGATTGCACTAGGGTGTGAACAGCCGACAACATGACATGTAAGCATTGCAGTATAGGACATCAAAGCGTCTTCTAGGGATACCTGCATGTAGAGGATCAGGCCGGCCATACACAAGACAGCGCAGAGACCATCTAACTGCCCAACAACCTTTTAATGGTCACATTAACTGCGCATCATGGCGTCAGCCATGCGGGCACATTTATGAGATGATTATATGCTCCAACAATCAAAAGGTGATCTCTGGGAAAATCCATTTCCAGATTATCTATATCTATAGATATCTATACACACACACACACACACACACACACACACACACACACACACACACACACACACTTATTTATTCTATTGCTAGCCAGGGGTGTCTGAATGGATCACATTGTGTCCAATTGTTAGTCAGACGGTGACAATTTGGTCAGATCTATAGGTCAGGGGAGAATTGGGCTGGGGGTGGCGTGTTGGATACACACCCTTGGACAAACTATCTGCATCCAAGGGCATGCATCCATACCTGCACAGATGTGCCAGTTCGGGTCATTGTGCAGCTGTGTCTTGTCAGAGATCTACAAGCACGTGGCTACACTCGTCCCTCCTGGGTGCAGGTCTCTGCATGGACATGCACGTTGTATGGCTGTGCACATGCGTGTCAAATACGCCGGATGATCTGGAGTGAAGGGTTAGATCCTCTGCCAGCACACCAAATCAATTGACTGCAGCAAGTGTTCATTTATTGACTTATGCTGTCTCTCGGTAGCAAGGGCTTTCGGGGCCACGCAGGCTCCCCTTCATCAGGCTCAGAGACCCTGCGTGGCCCCGAAAGCGCTTGCAACCGAGAGACAGCATGCGTCAATAAATGAACACTTGATGCAGTCTACGGATTTGGTGTGCCATCCGCAGTCATTTCGAGCACCCGTCTGTACATCTAAATGGGAATCCCGGTAAGGAGTGCAGCAAGTTTCCTTCTCTTTAGATCCTCCGCCAGGTTTTGCTACACTATGTGCCCCCTTGGCGACATTTCCCTTCACTTCCCGTCACTGAGGTATTCTCCCCATAGGACATGCTAATGGAAGCAAAAAACTGATCCTTCTCACTCTTTCATTGCTAGGTCCTTGCTGCAGAGACTTCCCCTCACTTCCTGCCCAGATGCATTGGAGGAAAGTGAGGGGAAGTCTCCCCAATAGAGACACACAAAGCAATTAAAACATGGCCGTGGTTTTACCTCTAATCCCCCACAAAAATAAAGTAAATAAAGTAAATGAATGCAAGCAGTGTAAGTACCTGGATCTGGCATGGTATGAGTCTTTTAGTCTACTATACAGCAGAGCTCAGAGGGGGAGGAAGCTGCATGACAAGGAGACCATTACAGAATGTCGCAGCACAAGAGACATGCTGACATTAGGAGAGAGCAGAGGGAGGGCTATCAGTGTGCTGCTTCCGCTTTCCTGTTAAGGCTGGGGAGGGAGGAAGACCTGTATGTGAAAGTGAAACTCTCAGAAGGGGCTGTGCTGTCTGGCAGAGCTGTGTAAGTCTCAGGAATGGATGGCCAAAAATACAAATCCTTTGGCACTGCTCCCATACATGTATGTCATCTGTGTACTTAGCAGCTTGTCTGGAGTTCAGCTTTAGGCCCACAAGAAATAACAGAAAAAATGGCTGAATGACTGGCGGGGTGACCCTTCAAGGTCACATACATTGACAGATACCTGCCAGTCGTTACCATTCTCTCCATGACCTCACTCCGGCTCAGGGGTGTCAGGCAGCCTTTTAGACAAGGTCCTTATTGTTTGTGTCTCTCCTTTATTGCATCAGTGATAAGCCGTGCACTTTTACAGTCACCGGCAGTTGTGGCTATAAATATGTCACCACAAAAAGGACTTTGTCCCATCACAGCAATGTGGGGAAGAGCCGAGCACAAGCCGCTGACAATTAATAAAAGGTCTGTTTTTAGCATAACAGCCGAATGACATTTCATAGAATAAATATGAGATAACCACAGACCAAGGTTGCTGCACACAGACACACAAATATCACCGTGTTGGTGGTAATCATAAAACAAATTCAGTTCAACAGTCATATGATTGGCTCCCAACATACTATATAAAAAGGAGACTGCCAGACACTGCCGGCAGGGAGACTGCCAGACACTGCCGGCAGGGAGACTGCCAGACCCTGCCGGCAGGGAGACTGCCAGACACTGCCGGCAGGGAGCTACTGCAGGCAGGCAAGCAACGGGTGAAGGTCAGGGACTGCAGGCAGGCAAGCAACGGGTGAAGGTCAGGGACTGCAGGCAGGCAAGCAACGGGTGAAGGTCAGGGACTGCAGGCAGGCAAGCAACGGGTGAAGGTCAGGGACTGCAGGCAGGCAAGCAACGGGAGGCGGTTAGAGACTACGGTCACAAAACAGAAGACAGTCAGGAAGCTGTAGCAGATAGACACTGGTGGCATGTTACACATGACTGCTAGAAAATCAGTGCAATTACAGCCCCCTCTGACTGCTGGAGCCTGCGTACCTCATAAGAAGTGCCAGAGAGCCACAGGTTGACCACCAGGGCAGATTACAGAGGGTAAAACTACAAAGGCTACTTTCTCATTGTTTATTTTGAAGGACAACTATATTTTAGTACTGTTATCCTTTAAATAAATCCCTCACCCCCCCCCCCC